TTATTATTTTAAAAATATATAAAATATTAATTAAAATAAATAATAATTATCAAATATATTTTATAATTTTTAAAATATTAAAATATTAAAAAACAACAGTTATAACTTCAAGCAAGTACTCTCAAACTAAACCTAAATAATATCATTAAAAAAATAGATAATTAAATTTAAATCACCCAAAAGGAAAGCTAATTCTACTAAAATTCAACGAACAAAGTAGTTAAGTTTTTGCGACTTTAAGGTTCCAAAATAAATAGAAAAAAGACAGCACCTTCAACGGATCCTCGCTTGCTTGGGATATAGAAAATGTGAGATTGAATTATCTTAGCTACATTTCATTAGCCGAAAGAAAAGTCACATTCAGAATTCTCTTTTATCAGCAAAGATCATTTTATTGATTGAGCACGAACTCAACATCTTTAGACTTGCATGCCACTGGAGAAGATGGCAGGGCGTCCTGACCTATTGGAGAATAAGGAGGAGATTTCCTTTGAGTTGAAGCTTCCATCCGATCAGAAAACTCAGACGTGAACAAGTCTTCTTGCTCTATTAAGTCGAAGGGGGGAGAATCAGTCTAAGCAAAGACAAATCAACAAACAAATCAGGCAAGAGAAAGAGATATGGAGTTGAGTTTTACAAGAAGAAAAAAATGACAGCCGCTATTCAATATGGAGTTCATGCATTTTTAGTTCAAGTGCTTAAAACTAACTTCCCTGCAAGTTTGAGGGCTTAACCTTCAATCTAGCCTCGAATGATTATACCATGCAAGCATTGAAGAGAGCCTAATTTTGTATTAATCCATCAAAGCCTTTAGGGTTTTTATACACGGATCAGAGATACTTTATTGTACTATTCAATTCCAGTTTCCAATTACCTCAGTCCCTACACCATAAGCTGTAAATCGAATGTGGTCTTCATATATATACCGAAGCATGAATGCAAAGGGGTATCTCATGTTCTTCTTGATTCTCTCCTACCACTCCCCACCACCTTTCCCCAGCAAGACAACCTTTTCTCTGCTGTAGTTACTGCCCCAAATTTTTCACAACTTATTTTCTGGTTTCCCATCCTCTTTTTCTTGCTCAAACTCCAGAAATTTAGACCTACATTCATCCATTAACATTACTCACTCTTTTTGTACCATTTCCATAACACTTAAAATCTCGCTAGATTTTAGCCCACATGTAGGCAGACAAGCTAAACATGTCCTAACCTTAATAGGAAACCATTGTAGTGGGGGACTGGCAGCAACTACCCTGGTCCATAAGGGGGCTGATGGCCTGAGTTGAACACATGACTGCACCATTAGGCCAAGGAGACCAGTAAAGGATAATTTATACATTTCTTCCATGAAAGTAAAACTACAATCCACTGCCTATTTTCCCTACCCAGAATAAAATGCCCTTCATAGCAATATGAAATATCATGTAACAATCAACTCAACTCTTCAAAAACTAAAGCACAGCATCCAACCTATAACAGATACAAGGAGAATGATGAATGGATGAAGCAGAAAAATTACCTTTCCTTCCTCAGATGGAGGATACTCAGCAGTATTTACAGAATCTGCATGGAGAAACAGGCATAAAGGTCATGTCTGCAGTCAGGTTTTGCAGACTATCTGTGTTCTCTGGTAGCCCCTAGAGACAGAATTATGACTTACAAGCAACAAAACACCAAAAAGTAATGCAAAAATTTGTCTAACCATTGTGAAAAAAGCAAACCTTTGGGACTACACGTGAAAGAAACTTAAGGCGTAAAAATCAAAGCAACTAATGTATGAATGCACCTGTACATTTTTAATTACCATGTCCTGGAAGAACCAAGTCCAAGTAAAACGTATTCGTCCTAGGTTGTTGTTGTGCCTTAATGCACTTTTTATGATCATGCAGAAATGCCTCCTCAGCTACATTGAATTCCTGCTTGCGTATATTCTTTTTCTTTGAAGAAGCTGCTTGATTAGTAGATGATTTGTTTGTAATGTCATTGAGAGCTTTACGAACACCCAGTCCCTCTCCACCTTTCTTTGTGGCTGTTTCAGAACCATTTGTTTTACCAGAGACAGTAGCCTCTACAAAATATAAATCACCAAGTTTATTGAGCACATCAAGAATGGGTGAGTGCAGTCAGGTAAAAGATTCTAAAAACCCACTTCAGTACCTCACTGCTCCATATTCAGCTAGACTAGATAAACATTGTTCAATGATTAATCAGTTACAAAGATTTACTTTTGAGTTTCAAAAATGCTAGGGCTTTCATGATCTTTTCCTAGTAATTAGTCGTAAACCTCTAACAAAAGCAAAGAGATTTACTATTCATTTGAATGCTAGAATTTTCATTCTGAAATTTCAACGGTCTCTGAGTGGCGCGGCTTGTTGCCATTGCTCTTCTATTTCCAAGACGAGAAGTTCTACAGCAGAACCCTGTTATCAGCAGACTGTTTAACCCAACTAAAAACCGCTACAACAAAATGAAATTTGTTCAAATGCTCTTGGAAACAGCAATTACCAAATTTTACAGAAATTAGAATATGCATACAAAAATTCTTCACCCCAGATCCAGAAATTGACAAGAAATATCCTCATAATACAAAAAATTCCAATGCTGCAATACAAGAATCACTAAATAACTCTCTACTCAATAAACGAAAAATTAAACACAAAATGAAACGAAAAAGGCAAAAACGCACCCCCAATTTAACTACTGAACAAGGTAAACCACCAGCGTTTTTGCAAGTAATAATTTTTCCTCTTTTTCTCTCTTCCCTATCAACTAAAAATCCTTCAAATTAAAAAGAATCGAAAGCAAACAAGAAGCCGTACCCGTTAAATAGTCAAACAACAGCTCTGCGCAGAACCCTAATCGGAAGCTTCAGAGGGCGAGAATGGAGGGAAGAGAAAGACGAAGTAAATACCATCGATCTGACCAATTTAAATTTTTTTATTGTTACCGCCATACCGGGTAGGTTTCAGCAATCTTTGACCGTCGGATTTTAGAGATCAAATCTCGACCGTTGATTTCAAATTTAGGCAAAACCATAAGTTAAGCCCCTGAACTAACCCCAGAATCGCTATTAAGACTCTAGACTTTAATTGATGCAGTTAAGCCCTTAAACTCTGGGATCAAAGCAATTAAACCCTTCTTCTTACGCTATTAAGCCCCTAGACTTTAATTTTTAAAATAAATTGCTTAAGAAGAAGGGCTTAATTGCTT